GTGGTGTAACCGTTTAATCCCAGCATTCAGTGGGCAGAGACAGGTGACTATCTGTGAGAGTGAGGTCAGCCTGGTCCTGTGGCTACAGGGAAACCCTGTCTCAAAAAAAATTCCAGGAGGAGTTAGTGCTTCTGGATCAGAACCTCACTTTGAATAGCACCGATATATTGATGTAGATGATCAAATGTTCTTTAGTATGTTTTCAAGATATGGGTAGAAGTCTAAACTAGTTTGATTTCTCATTTGACATATGAATCCACTCAAAACTATTCAGAAGAAAAGTCACACACAAAAATACGAATACACTATTCCATAAATAATACATTGAATGCATACTTTACTCAAAATATATTTCATTGTCACCAAAATTTGACAACACTACAGACCATGGATCCATTTGTGAGATCACAGTCACAGCATATATTATCTTATGAAGGGCTATAAGAACTATGGTAATAAAGCTATTCTTCAAATTACATTTAATCAACTATGTATTAAACTCATTTGCTCATAAACACTTGTATATATAGCACCCATTTAACTAGTGTCATACCTGACACACTTTGAAAAGTTCTCCACTCCTAAAACTCTTTCAGAATCATAGAGGCTTGTCGCTTACTGGACTGCACTCAAGCACTAAGGACTACCTCCATAACATGGATATTATTTTCTCTACTATGGCTTTTGGAAGCCAGTTATAAGAAGATCTGTTAGTTCTGGTCACAAATAAGACCAAGAAAAATTTACATTATGAATAGAAATAGATAATCTGATGGCTGGATGCCATAGGTTTTACAAGGGATTACCTGTCTTCATTTTAGTTATATGTATAGACAACTGATATTTTGATATAGAAGTTTAACTTGAATTTATTTCAGATTAAATCCACTAATTTAAAAGCACAGCCTTTCATTTTTGCTCACATTAAAACAGAGTTCTTTTTCATATCACATATCCTGAAACTTTGCCCAGTCAAAAATTTCCCAACAGCAGTTAAACAAGATCCAGTTTAAGTCCTGTCAGGAGGCTGGAATGAAGCTCTCTGGGAACAAATGAATTGGCCTCAGTTAATAAAACACAACTGCTTTCATACAATCATCTCACCTACCTTGGGATTTACCTCCTTCTAACCAATGCTTGCTGACGTTTTCCATCTTGAACATTCCTCTCTTGATCATAGAGAAAGCAGAAGCAAGAAGACTTGAGTAACTTCCCTCTATCTTTTTCTATCATTAGCCTCCAGCTATGAGCCTGGGCTAGAGATAGACCTCAGCATCATCTCCATACAACAGAAGCTGGAGTAAGGGATTAGTAATACATATGAAAACTGATGATATGGATGAAATGCATTTGGTGACAAATTCATAATCACTTTTGTTGTTGAATTGTCTGATTGTTCTATACATCAATTTTGAAAAATTAATTAACCCCTTAGTTTTATCTGAATGGTTTCAGGTAGCTATATTTTCCAAATATCTGAACCATGCCTCCATGAGATATTCAATTTAATTTTTAAAATGACTGCTTCACAAAAATCACAGTGAATGTTCCATGAACAATGTATTTTAAAGTCATATACCTGGGTAGTATATTATAATTAGCAAGCACTTTCACATTTGATCTTAACAAGTTTCTGAGGTAGATGTGATACTCTTTAACACACACACACACACACACACACATACACATGCACGCACACACACACACACGTTTTTTTATCCCCTTTCCTGTCATATAACTTCTAAAATGATTTGTCCTTTTACATGCTAATTGATCTATCATTGGCAACCTTTAGGTAGTTTGAGGATGGGCAGGTGCTGAATTCTGGAAATATTAAAATACAGAACATTAGGACTTTTAGCAATATCTTTGGGGGCATTCTTAGAAGACTGAGACCCTGCTCTGTGGTATTTCTACATGTATAGGGTCAAAAGTGAATTAAATTAAAGGCATCAGGCTGTTGTCCAGTAAAGAAACAACTACTTGCTTAGCATGTAGGACAAAATCCTCACATATTTGTAGTCACACAAGTATTCTGTGCTGTGAATATGAGAGACAGTTTGTTTATCCAATATCCTTGGTAGGGCATATCAGCGCATTTTTAGATAGTCTTCAAGTCAGCTCAGTCAAAATTTAAATTACCTTTTATTATCATTAATGTATGCAGCAGACATTTTGATCATTACTCAAAACATTATTCCTGTGATTATTATGGGAGTTTCGTTTTCTACTTTATCCACACATGTAGTCATTTGAATTTTTAAAGAATAAATTATTTTTGTAATTGGGAACAACAAAAATATTCTTAACTCTGATATAACTAAATTATCTTCTAAAGGGTTAAGTGCTCTATTTCCCTAAACACAACATCATAAATTAGTTTTTATGCCAAACATAAAATATCTATATTACTGAGTGACTAATATGTTGGAAATATAATTAAGGATTCTCTGAACCAGTCTAGAGCTAAGAAAAAGTAATCAACTCTTAATACCATATCCATCAAAGTTAGAAGAGTACAATGATGAAGTTTGTAGGACGCACTGCCAATCCCTTGGATTTTCAAGTATAAAACAATGTAGGTAGTATTATGCATATGAAAATGCATTTATATTTATTTATTTAGCAAAATAGGCTAGTATTAACACCATGCAAATAAAGGAAAGTTAAATAATTGTAGATGCAGATAATGGATTCACAAGGGAGTTCTTAGAGAAGGAACAGAAACTTTCATAAGAATGAATGATTCAATTCTTAGTGAAGGAACAGAAACTTTCATAAGAATGAATGATTCAGTTCTTAGAGAAGGAACAGAAACTTTCATAAGAATGAATGATTCAGTTCTCTGAAGTGAACAAGGGTGGTCAGCATCTGCTTTGTAATTAGCTATGCTGTGTCTCCCAGAGACTGTTTAAGCTCATTTTTTCACTCTTGAGATTCAAGCTGTATCCCTCATACTCAGAGATAGGAAATAGTAATGAAAGGTGCTTGAGTGAACATACAAATTTCACACATTTTTCATAGCTCAACTACATCAATTTTGACTGCCTCTGCATACCATATTTCTAAGACAGGTAGAGACAGGTATGATCACCATTTTATGTGTACAATAATTTATATTCTTCATTTTAATTTCTTCTTTACATGCCAGATTACCTACTGACTGGCAACAGATATTAACAACAATGTGTGTTTGTGTGTGTGTGACTTAACTCGAAATTTCAGTCAGAGTTATTAGATAAGACCATTTACAAAGCTTATGCAAAATGATTCTGGTAATGATGGTAATGAGCTACTGATCTAATATACTGAATTGTTCAGTAGGAGCATGTGTTTGTAAATAAATTTTCATTGATTCCTTTTTTTTAAATTTTTGGCTTTTTAAGACAATTTTCTCATTTTGTAGTCCAGGCTACATTAGAGCATATCATGTAGCCAAGATTATTAAAACTAATGGCAATCATCCTGCCTCAGCCACACAAGTACTGGGATCAGAAGCACATGCCACCATGCCTAGCTAATTTTCATTAGTTCTTGTGAAAGACGAACAAGAAATGAACAAGAATTATGTTTAAAAGTACTTCATACAGCACACAAATATGCAAATATGTAGTTAAGTCATTTTAAGGAACTTTAAATCTTGATTTTCATATATTTTGTATATACTTTCCTCCCATAACAATTCAAAGATTCCTTTTAAAGTCACTTACAACTTGGCATTTCTAACGCTTTTTTTTATTACCTAGGAGATTTCTTAGATGGCTAGATACTGAACAATCAAAAATGTATTCAGCAATATAAGAGCTTAAACTCTGAAGTGAATCTATATTCAGATCCCAGATCCATCTTTAATACTTATAATTGTGGGAAGTTTTCAACTTCTCTTCATCTGTGCTCCAGATTCTCTCTTTTAATCCTTACAAAGTTGTTGTGAAAGTGAGGCAATTCATGTAAAGCTTCTTGAACATGACCTGGCACAAAGTAAATGGCCAGAAAATTATTACCTTTTGTTTACTCATCAGGAGAAAAGCTAGATGGCTAGCCTGCTGAAAGACGGTCCTCTTTCTCTTCAAAATAATGATCCTATGGTCCATACACACATCAGGAAGACACCCATTTCTGAAGCCCTTAGTGAGGATTAGGAGTTCAATGGTGCTGGGGTAAATGAGCATTAGGATTGGATTTCCAAGTAGTAATAAATAAGTGCTGAACACATTTAAATTTCATTTTGTCTCATAAGGCACGTCTTAGGACAGTTCCTTTAACACCTGGATATTAAAGAAGCAATGGAAGTAGGGGCTCGCTATGGCACAAATAAAGTCAAGACCAATTCCTTTGTCAATGCAAAACAATAAATGCAAATGTAAAATGCAAGGTATTTTGTGAAATGGTGCCCTTTTCCTTGACCATTCTTACCCCTCCAGTTTCTAGATAGAAATTTAGCCATTTGGACAAATCTCTGTCAATGTTGTTCAAAACATATACTAGGACTGGAGCAAGATAAACTGGTTTGCAAATTAGAGAGACTTTTATGACGGAATCCCCATGGCAATCTACTTTATCTGCGATTATCACCTGGGGTTTGTGAAGAATGCAAATTTATCTCTGAAAATTACTTTGTCCCTAGGCTTATACCCCTTAATTTGGTCTGAGATTCTGGAATGATAGTAGTTGGGCTTGAAAATACTTTTGCTGTGTTTATGAACCATGGGAAAGTCACTTTTTTTTCCCATAGCAACTTTTGACGTTGGTATCTTTATCTTCAAATTTCCAGCCCTATGAGCTCCTGCCCTGAAATTCTGCCTCTGCTTTTTCCAGACTCTTTACCTACTGGGAAACCTTGTAGTTATCTCGGTGGCAAGGCAGGGCCTCTCCTGGCACGCAAACCTGCCTGGTGAATCCGCCCCTTGGGGCGTGTCAGTACCATTTCCTGGAGCAATCTCACAGGGTGGTTCAACTTTTCATCTGAGCTCAAATACTTTGCTGCCTCCTCTGTAGCTGCCAGACCTGCTCCTGCTGCTGCTCAGGTAACCCATCTTGCACTGGCACCACCAAGGATAAAGGTAGTTGCTAAAGGCTTTTTTTCCCCACCGCATGCCTGCCTGCCTACCTACCTGCAGTTTTTCATTGTTCTCTGTTTATTCCTTAGGGAGAACACCTGGGTAAACCCTTCCTGATCACCTAGAAGATGATGAGCTCAAGTTATTGGAGCGAGACCAGCAGCAGCAGCTGTGGGACCCAGCAGCCCACAGAGGTGCTGCAGTGCCAGCCCCAGCATTACCACTGCTACCATCAGTCAAGCCAAGCCCAGCAGCCTCCAGAAAAAAATGTAGTGTATGAACGAGTGAGGACCTACAGTGGGCCCATGAACAAGGTGGTGCAGGCCTTGGACCCTCTTGGCTCACGGGAAGTGCTCTCCCCACTCAAAGCCGCTTCCTCCTACCAAAACTTGGTTTGGAGCGACCATTCACAGGTAATAAAAGATACCTATTGCAGATTGCTGGGAAAAGGAAATCTCTTCTTCCTGTTTTCTTTTGCTGTAAACTTACAGGATAGCTCTTGGTGGATTGTAGTTATGTATGTGTTGGGCAATCACCCAAATTCTCTTAGCAATTTTTTTCTCTTCATTGACTAGTGCCTGTATTTGGTTGCTTACCATTTCAATGATTTTCATACCCTAACGAAGGTATAGGAAGGCACATTTTTAAATTTGAAGTTGATTGGAAGATGTGATCAGAGTGGCCTGTTTTGCCATTAACCAAAGAGTAATCATCCACGGATTCATGTCATATCTGGAGCAAACAGGTGTTTTTGTACCAAATAGAATGATGCAGTCTTCTACATATTAATTTAATAATTTATGGAATATTGGTAGAAGAGAGTTTATTGGATTGAGGCAGCAAGAAAAGTAAGCAATTTTAAGAATGCTACAAAAGATGAATCTCTGACACCCTTGAAAATGAAATAAATTTGTTTCTAAGGGGTATTTAGTATCAATGCCTATGCTAATAATCTTGCAAGTACATGAAAAATAATGCTGAAAGACTGTGCAAAATGTCATCTTAATATCCAATTTGATTCTATGAGTCTCTTTACACTAAAGGTATATATCTTTGCGCTTCTGGATGCTTCTGTCCAAGCTGAAATTGTGTTCTCAAGATATTTATACTGTGAAGACGTCAAAATCTACCAATGGGGTTTACCCTGTTTTACATTATTATATCAGGGAAGAGTATGACTTATTTTGCCAAAGCTCACAGTTTAAGGAGAACATGAAAAATTTCTAAAATATATAATGAAGTTATGTTTTAAAGAATTCCTCAAGACAATCCCAAAATATAACTGCAACAATTACTCTTTTATTTAAAACAGCTTAATTTCAGGGACTCATACAAGACTAATCTAGGAGTTACTACCAGAAATTTCCTAGTTGAAGGAAAACATGTGTATTGAGGTCAAGGGAAAGAAAAATATAAAGGTTAAAAAAATTAGGTTGCATATGTGATAATATTGATGCAAATTACATTCCAGTATTCAGTATTAGCATGTCAAAGGACAACAAAAGTATCTCCAAAACAATGAGGGTTAAAAACAGGTATTTCTGTTATAAGAATACAGAAGTCACACTATTTTTCTTGGTTATTTTAACTCACTTAGCTTTTATTCATGTGAATTTATTAGTAAATGAGCAGAAATTTGAAAAATGATAAATATTGAGTACAGAAAAATTGAGAATCATGGTTTATTGTTTGTTTCTTAATTCAACTTTCCCTTTTAACATAATACAATGGTCAAACTCAGCTGGTCAAGCTTTTTTTTTTTTTTTTTTTTCATTTATTTATTTTTACACCCATTTCCCAGATACACCTTCCCATAGCCTCCCTCCCCCCACTAGAGCCCTTATATTCTGATATCCCTGCTACTGTCTGCTGTGTTGTCGGCACCCCAGCCATTCCCCACTACTTGCCCTTCTGGTGAATCTAGTCAGCCCATCTAGAAGTCTTTGTTTTAGGAGGGTGAGCTCTTTATAAGACTTTCCTTCTTTTACCTGGAATTTGTCAAATTGATACTTCTAAGACTATCTCCATTTTGCAATACAATTCTCTGTAGAAAAATTCATAAAAACCATACGAACAGAAAGTGTGGATACAGTAGCTGTGGTAAGAGATTGAAATGGCAGGCATTTTGAAGTCTGAAGTCATTTATAACTGGAAAGAAATAATGGTAATAGATGAGTGCGGTTGAGAGGTAAATTCAAGCTATGTGATAAAGGGGAAGAGGAAGCTTTATTCCCTTGGTGGAATGCAAAAAGAGAAAATTTGACTTTCCAGTTTCAAATTGAGTTGGATATGAAATCCACTAAAAGCGATTACAATCAAACAGCTTTTAAGTAGTTATCAAACACAAAAAACCTAGAAAGCCCTTTATTTTGTTTGTCATTCCCCCTGTTTAGTGGTAGGATTATCTTGTGAGACTATGTAAAGGAAATTTATATTTGATATGAAATAGTCTTCATGCTGACAGAACTGCTGGGCTATACTGGCAGTTTTATTATATACCATACAGCTACAAGTAAGCTGGACATATTACTCAAAACGTTTTTATAGTTTATTACAATTTCTCTTTAATATGCTGTTTCAAACAAGCTGATATGTAGTAATTATGCTAATGTTAGAGTTTATGACTGAGGCAACTAAGAAAATGAAGATTATGTTTAATTTCTGGTCATCATGAGTTAAGTTAAACTTTTACTTTGTTTAGGTGTATATATGACACTCAGAGAACTTATGAGACTTTTAAATAAGTCTTGCCAGTAGTGAAATTTGAGAAACTACAGTTCATGTACTCTTCTTTGTTTTCCAAATTTTAATCTTAATCTTAATTTTAGACTTAACTAAGTGCCACGTACAACAATTTAGTATTTTATTATTCCTGGCTTTTTAGACCATGTTTTCCCTGAAACAGTAAGATGGTGCTTATGGATATAAACATATTTAAATTGCTCTACATTTGATACATGTTATTTTTATTTCTTGTCTGTAATTGATCAGACACATTTATGGTTTCCTCAGTTATTATTTTGTCTGAATAATAATGTACTTTTCAAAATTAAATGTAGGTAGATACCAGTTACTACTGAGTTATCTGAATTAATCGTAGATTTAAAAGGACTACATAGTGAGTTCCAGGACAGCTGGGGCTACAGGGAGACCCTGTCCCAAAAAGACCAAAAAAAAAAGTATTAAGTTTATTCACATGGACAAGTACAATCAAACAAAGCCAGATACACTTTTAAGCCCAATGTGGTTGGGCAAATAAATGAATAATGTTCTAGAAGCTACTTACTTGAAGCTAAAGAAAACAACAAAAACCCTTAGAATTCAATCTTTAACATTTAAATATTAAAGTACCATCATTAATTCAAAATGGTATACTCCTTTCAATGAGCAATACTGTTGTGAATTATTTATTAGACATATATTTCCCCTTTGGCTGATTTAAGTAATCATGAAGGTCAAGATATTTTCCATGAATACTGAGAAATAATTTTGAGAAAGAAAAGCTTAAATATTTTAAATTCCTGTCATTCTGTGAATAAAGTCTTCTTAAGTGAAGTACTATGATCTGGATAAATGCCATTTGCTTTTCCAAGGAAAGTACACTTTGAGGATAAGCGTATGGAACCTAGGCTATAAGTGGCCTATGTGCCTATCTATATTACATTTAAAAATATTGTTTTATATTGTGTCTATGAATATTTTTTGAATAAACTATCAACTTTATTTATTCATCAAAATATTAGTTTTAATGGATGGGTTATAAAGTTTGCCATTTTTTGAATTTGAAACTTGCAACCAAATTTAACCTTCGAGAGCAACCTGGGGCAAAGTGTGCTTTTGCACATGGCCTTTGTTACTGATAATTATTCACTTGGAGCTTAAGTTTGTTTACATTTTTGTTTTCCTTTATCTGTGGTTGCAAAGATTGTAAATGACTTCCCTAGTGTGTTAAGGTTTCTATTTACTAACAGAAAATTTTCCTATTTTGTGGGGAGGAGTGTGTTGCTTTGATATATTGTTTTTCCAAGGTGTGGTCACAAAAGGGAATGGGTGTTCAGGGAAGTAGGTTGCCTGAATAAAGAATGAGGTCATGGGATAAAGGGGCTGGTGTTTTCAGAGTTGCTCATCATCTTTGTGCTTATGATTAAATGGAGCTGTAGAAACTGTTAGTGCAGCTAATTGCTAGTTGAAAACATTCATATGGCAATTGTCTCTTGGTTAAAAGAGGTCTGATCATTTCTGGAATATTTTTCAGTCAGTGACATTCAGAAGCTGTCATTGTGTTGTGGCCATGGCAGGATATGTAGCAAGTGGAAAAGAAAAGAACCTTTCATTAACTATCCTAGTCAAGTTTCTTTTCCTCGCAATTCATGGTGAAACTACTGGGCGATTTGTCATGCTCTTAAATCCAACTTGAAAGTTAAAATGTGTCTAAATGAATATATCTGAACCAATTTTTCTCTTCACATCAGAAGTTGTCCCAATTAAGATTCATTTTTACTTCTTTGGAGGATAAATACTAATAATATTAAAGACAGAAGTCATGCACTGAACAAGGGACTATATATTTTATTCCCTCTCCATTTACTAATTTCTTTAAAAAAGAAGAGAAGCTGAGAAAGATTTCTAGAATGAATATTTTAAATAAAGGATTTTGGCTAGAGAGAAGGGAGGAGAACTATCTATATTTTTCTTCACTTGACAACAGAATCATAGATTTTATTCTAATTGTAGGAAGTGTTTGTTTTATCTAAAAAAGGTTTCTTGTTGTACAAGACTTCAAATGACATTTCAACAATAACCTAAGGCAGGTGTTTAACTATATTCCTTACTTTGAAAGGTTCTGACAAAAGCAGTCCCCACACTATTCAGGGACTTTATTCAAATTACAGTTTGCCTTAGAAAGTTCTGAATGCATAAATGTCAGGTAGTTTTAAAGATACTGCCTCCTTTAAAACTGCTCAGCCTTGCCTGTTCCTCATTATTACTTTCAGTGATTATTGATTATTATCAGCATGTGGACTGACAGAAATATCAGCAATGTTCTTGTGATTTTTCCATGTGAAATATGGTGTATCAGTCTTTAAATAAGGTTTTAAAATTCAAATTAAACATCATAAAGGGGTTTTGTGTTCATTTCAGGATATTTCCAAATGTTAAGGGAACAAAATCCTCCACTATGCATATATTTATCCTGCATCTACTGTTCTTGATTTCGTTGACCAGAGCCACCAGCAGAAAAATGGAGGTCAATAGATGATGCTTGAAGAGGTTCAGATTTTTCAGTCTAAAGAGCAGTTACAGAGAAAATGCCCATAAATCAGTCTATATAGAATGTCTCAGGAGAGCTATACATACTAAACTTTCAGGATCACGAGGTGGACTTTGACAGAAAAGAACTTTGAAACAATCT